GCACATGCCTGTAGTCCCAGCTACCTAGGATGCTGTGGGAGGGTCACCTGAGCCTGGGAGGTCAAGGCTGCCGTGAGCTGTGATCATGCCACTGCAGTCCAGCCTGGGAGACAAAGCAAGACCCTCCTATCTAAAAAAAAAAAAAAAAAAAATTTAATTCACTGAGTTTAACATTGAACTATGGAACTTAAAGTGATCCATATCTCAAAAAGAGAACCATAGGAGTCCCTTTGAAGAAAAATATTAAATAATCATATTTTAGATGCTATATCAATATGGCAAAATTCACACAGAGGGACATGAGTGGTCAAAGTTTGGACAGCAGTGACCTGAGCAACCTTGAGGATTCCTTCTAGCTCATATGTTCTGAGTGCCTTGGAGGACTAAGTCCCAAGACTGTTCAGCACACCAATGGCAAACCCTCTCAGAGACAGGGGCTCTCGCTGGGCAGTGGGCACTTCCAGGGGGTGCTGCACATCCCATCAGAAGAGCCCCTTCCTCCAAGCCCCCGGCTTCTCCTGCAGCGCCCGGTACGGGGTGCAGCTCAGCCCCGGCCTCCTTTCTCTCTGCATATTGGCCCGAGCCTCAGCTGCATCTATCATCTGCTTCAGGCTCATTAAAATTATTTCTTTTTAGTTGCAAATGGGCTGTTTATGATGATCATTATTTGAATGGTCTGCGCCGGGCTCCGGGCTGTCTGTCTGCTGCTGATGGCCGGTTAATCAGATGAGTCTCCTCCCTGCCTGGGCCTGGCCCAAAGTCTGGGGCTGTGTTAATCATGGCTCCCCCAGGGCTGGGGGGTTGGTGGGGCCAGCAGGGGCTGGGTAGGAGATCCTGACTTCTGTTGGATTACCAAAGCTGTGTGTGTGGTGGTTCAGACATGCTTTCTAAAACGCAGCTTTAGACCAGTGCTGGTTTATGTTTGTGATAGAATTTTTTTCCATTCCTTCAAAATAGATATAATGCCATGAGCTTTTTAATTTTAGCTGTGTGCATTATGAAAGACCCATGCCGATGCTGTCATTGGCCCTCTTGCTTTGCTGATATTCAAATATCCTCTCTTTTAGGTGGGAGGGAGTGGTTTTTAATGTCTTTGCTTGATACAGTAACATTTGGCAATACTCTACCAGTCTTCCTTTCTTTTTAAAGCGGAATTTTTACTGAGCTGTGAAATCCAGAATTCTTGAAATCATTGATCTGGTGGGGTGTTTTCTTAGCTCTCAGTTTATCTAAACATAAGATTAATATCAGCCAAGGCCAGGCATGGTGGCTCACACCTGTAATCCCAACACTTTGGGAGGCCACAGCAGGTGGATTGCTTGAGCCCAGGAGTTTGAGACCAGCCTGGCAACATGGTGAAACCCTGTCTCTACCCCAAAAAAATGCAAAAATTAGCTGGGCATGGTGGCACATGCCTATAGTCACAGCTACTAGGGAGGCTGAGGTGGAAAGGTCATTTGAGCCTGGGAGGTCAAGGCTGCAATGAGCTGTGATTGCACTACTGCACTCCAGTCTAGGTGACAAGAGTGAGACCCTGTCTCAAAAAAAAAAAAAAAGACAACATTTATTGAACACTTGAAGCTTTACCCATCCATATCATTTAAAACAAGTGCCCTGAACACCCCCCAGCTGATGGAGAAGCGGAGCAGAAGCCCACTGAAGAGAAGGGCATTAAAAATTTGCCTTTATAATCCACCAAGGAGATAATCCACACCTCGGTTATTAGAATTGACTGTAATATATTTCCAAGCCCCTGCTTGAATCACCATACAGACACATTAATGTGTTTGTTCCATGAGATGATGTATGTTAGGAATTTAGGCATAGTGCCTGGTACATGTAAGCTTTCCATAAATGGTAGTTATGACTATTTACTATTATTATTATTGGTGTTAGTGTGTTTACCAGTGAACTGTGGCAAGAATTCAGGGTTGAAGGACAAGCATAGATTTAGGCAAAATTGAGAAGTACGTGGATGTCAGTGACTTCGTCTGCTCGAGGAAAGATACCAAGGGCTGGGCTTGTGGTGGGGTCAGAGTGAGGGTCCTGGTGATGTCCCCCTGCCTTCCCTGGCTTGGTTCTTTCTGCAGTGTGGACACAGCAGACATCCTGTCTGTCAGATTTGCACCCACCAGCAGCCTGAGAGGTACAGGTGGAGGGAGTCAGGCATAATTGTCTGTGATAACACATCAGGTGGTTAGACTTATCCTGCTCTGCGATTTCCTTTCAGAACCTGGGCTGGATATTTTTAATGAGGAGTCAAAGTCCTGGTGGATTTTGACCACCAGGTACATTGGTTGCTGTGTTATGGGAAGGCACCAGTGTCCCTGCAATAAGAACATAGTGTCAGACACGCCCAGGTGCGGTGGCTCATGCCGGTAATTCCAGCACTTTGGGAGGCCAAGGTGCGTGGATCACGAGGTCAGGAGATCGAGACCATCCTAGCTAACATGGTGAAACCCCATCTCTACTAAAAATACAAAAAATTAGCTGGGCATGGTGGCAGGTGCTTGTAGTCCCAGCTACTCGGGAAGCTGAGGCAGGAGAATGGCGTGAACCTGGGAGGTGGAGCTTGCAGTGAGCCGAGATCTCACCACTGCACTCCAGCCTGGGCAACAGAGTGAGCCTCCATCTCGGAAAAAAAAAAAAAAAAAAAAAAGAACATAGTGTCAGACACACAATAATCCAAGATGGAGAGCTGTAAACCCATGTTCCAGTTCTGTTTGTCCTGCAGCAATGTAAAAATCACATCTTTGTCTTCAAGAGAGAAGAGAAAAACTAAAAAGAGCTGAGAGTACGCTGCTACAACTCAAATTGACCATGGCACTCTAGTTTTTTTCTGTCCTGCCAAGTGAGATTCTGTCCACATGGCCGTGCCAACCAGTTGGGTTTTGTCTACCTTTGTATATTGCTACAAACACTGATCTCTCCTGTCACTGGATATTTTGGTTGTGATCAGTTGTAGTTTCTTTATTAGAAACTGTGATTAGTTTTAAGTGATGATAAACCAGAATTCCCCCTTTTTGCTCATAACACCTTGTTCCTCACCTGGCTTAATCCTGGTATAAACCGGGCTTTTAAACTGGAAGCCGCCATGTACCTTCAAGTGGGAAGTACCCTGTGCTTTGGCAAGAATTGCTTTCAGCACCTTGGAGAGCACCTGTTTCCGCTCCTCCCGCCCCCAACATAGAGACAGGGTCTCTGTCACCCAGGCTGGAGTGCAGTGGCACCATCGCAACTCACTACAGCCTTGACCTCCTGAGCTCAAGCAGTCCTCCCATCTCAGCTTCCCAAGTAGCTGGGACTGTAGGTGCAGTGCCACCACGACAAGCTTGTTGTTCTATTTTTTTGTAGAGAGGAGGCCACTATGTTGCCCAGGCTGGTCTCGAACTCTTGGCCTCCCAAAGTGCTGAGATGACAGGAATGAGCCACCGCACCTGGCCCTCACCTCTATTTCAAAGCTACTTTGGTGCCTCCACCTTCTCCCTTCTAGTCTCATGATTTTCTAAAGAAGTTAGACATTTCTCCAGAAATAGAAGTTCCTTGTTGGATTTCTACAAAGAAATCCATAGGCCAGGGACACTCTTCCCAGCTTGGGGTGCCAGGTTTATGGTGCTCTGGTGAGCTGCTATTGAGCAGATTTAGTGACTCTGAGACATGATATAAGACAATTACCATGCATTTCGTCTCTTAGAGGGAAAAGGATTTGCAGTGGGTTAATAGTACTTTTATTTCATTATCTAATGGCAAAAGTGTTTCATTGTGTGTGCAAGATGAATGTGTATTAGTGATGACAAATGGGGTCTTTCAACACGGTGCTGGGCCTCATCATACATATGTTAGATTAAAGAGTTCACCCTAGAAATACACTCCCGCATCTGCGTGTGTGTTTTTAATAAATCTGATTGCAGAAATTTATTGCATCACCGGATTTAGGAAATTATGGGGCTTGATTGCTGCAAATATAATCGGGTGATATATACAGAAATGCTCCTCGAGTTATGGTCCAGAAAAAAAGCCCATCTCGGGATGGTGCAAGGAAGCAGCCGACCACATAAACAGAGCATTTCTTGAATTATGCAAATGAAATCCATGACAGCTCATGGTGAATTGTACTCCCCTTGTGAAACTGCCACCATTAAAGTGAAGAAAGCTTCAAGAGGGGTGATCAAATATACATGCACGACCAGCAGACATTGTCTGTGATGTGTGTGAACCGGAGCATCCCCCCTTCCATCCCTCTCTCTTTTTCCCTCGCTGGTACATCCTATAAAAACCTGGTCTGATACCTTCCTTGCATATAAGCCAACAAAGCGCCTTCCAATCCATTTCTTCTGAATCCAGGAGTCTTCAGTGAAATATTTCTTAGACTTGAAGTGAACCTTAAATGATTTACTGCGAGATACACAAAAGGTCAGCTTACTTCTTATTGGCACCTTCATTTTTCCAAAATCTACTGAAATTAAAAAGCCATCTATATCTTAAAAGGCGTATTTATGAACCTTTAAGTGTAAGTAAGTCATAGTTGGAGCCGTTCCCACCTCTGATATATGAAAGCTGTCGACAGCACTTTCTTCCACTATAATATGCCCATACAATATGCCGCACTTTACTATTTTGACATGGTTTGGAGATGTTTTCTACAGTTACTGACAAGCTTATGCCATCACTCCTTTGGAAATTTAAGAGGTGGGGCAGGGGGTGGGGGAAGAGATGAAAAAAGAAAAAAAACCAACTCCACCCAACTTTATAGAAGATTATTGATCTGGCCTGACTTCCAATGAGCAAAAAAAGCTGTCCTGGATTTTTTTTCAGTTGCATCCCAGTTTTGTAAATTATTTATTTGTGCCAGGAGTCAATATCCTGTCTTTTCTTAGCTTTGTAAGTTAAGAAAACTTGTTCAGAATGCTGTTTTGTACAATGGTTAAAAAGGAATAAAGAAAAAAAATCTTTTTCTTTTCTCTCTCTCCTTTTTTTTTTTTTTTTTTTTATTGTTCCAGAAGGAGCTTAATTCCGTCGCTTCTGAGCTGTCTGCACGGCAGGAGGAGAGTGAACATTCTCATAAACATTTAATTGAACTCCGCCGGGAATTTAAGAAAAATGTACCTGAGGTATGGTATATTTGCTGTTATAGAATTAACTCAGTAGGAATGCAGATTTCTCTCCATTCAAACTATATTTTGAAAACTGTAGATGTAAGTGACTAACAAGAAAAGAAGCTAATTAGCCACAAAGAAAAATGACAGCCCCCAACCTTGCGGGGTTTCTTGGCCTAGCGGTGCTTAGCACTGCCGACCGAAGGGAAGGCGGGGCGTTTCTCCATCAACGTCATTGTTTTTCGAGGGTGCTGTGAAACGTCCATTTTCCCCCCACATTCATATCCAAGTCAAATGCCTGGCCTTGCTGGCAAAGACAGTAGTGTGCCTTAGAGTTCTTGATTTTATTTTGCTTTCCCGTTGGCGTCTGGAAGAAGGCAGCCGTTGACTCTCTAACACCCTCTCGGGGCCTGCCGGCGCTCATCATCTCTGAAACTCGGCCTCTCACCCCCTGTACGTGCACCTCATTCTTCCCCTTCACCGCCTCCCTTGCAGTCCCAGCAACCAGCTATGCCTTTTCTAGCAGCCATTGCAGGGAGCTTGGTAGGGGACAGAGAATGACTAGCCCCCAGCAATGTAAGAGCCCCCCAAGGAACGGACTAGAACAGACAAGTTTCTATTCTTTACCAGCCCTGGATGTGTGAATTCTTTTCCCTCCTCTCACAGGCCCCCCTATTGCTTCTCAAATTACAAAACAAATGATGAGAATAAATACAAATAGGGAAAATAAAGCCCTCTGACTCTATATGAAAAGGATGTGGCACATCAGGGCTGTGACAGGGAACAGACATCAGGGATCTCTGTGGCCGGATCTCCCCAAAGCCAACTGTGTTTCATTCTGGTCAGCAGAAGGTTAACATCTGTCCTTACCTGCTCAGGTGTGCTGCAGGAAGGTGGGGCAGAGTTTGGCATTCAGATGGGAGACTTGGATTCCACCAGTTACACTCTGCCAGTCTGATACCGGGATTGGTGGGGGATCCTGTTGCCATCTCGCTGTTCAGGGAGGGGAACATGGGAAGACAGGGAAGAGGCAAACCCAACTAGGGATCAGGCCATATGAGCACAGAGGGGAGAAGCCTCAGGTCCACCTCAGCCTCTTAGCTGCAAAATCCTTCTCACACAAGTCATAAACGTCTTTGGTTCTTCAAGGCAAGAGAAGGGACTAGGATCTAGCTAGAATTTGTCCATGGAGCAAGTCTGGAAGGAAGAGAGTGTCTACGTGGAGAAGGGGCATGAATCTCAGGTCTAAAAGCCTGTCCTATGTTGTGGCTTTAGAAAAGCCAAGCCAGGCCTTTGGTTTGACTCCAAGAGCCAAGAAGGCACCAGTGATGCTGAGAACCCTTCCTTCGCCTTTTAGAACAGAGCTCAGCTTGGTCTAGAAACTAATTTGTCTCCCCAGAATGAGGTTACCTTTGACTCTCTTTTGACTCCAGGAAGCAGAGCTGAATCCGCCCCACATCTTCACAGCTGCACATGCCCTCTCTCTAGTCAGCTTAGACCCTCTGTCTCATCCTCGTTCTCCTAGCCCAACTGACTTTCTTCTGAGGCCATGTGGGAGCCCCCAGGTGATGAGGGAAATCCAGGCCGTGTTTTAAGCCTCTGAGTTCAGCTTACATAATTTTAATACTGCATAATTATGCAATTATGTAATTAGGAGGAATAAGTTTCCATTCCTATTATAGTTGTGCCTCTGAAAATTCTCCTTTTTGGAGCCAGTCTCTCCTGATGGAGAAAGTCACGCCGAGGCTTTATTTAAGAGCTCCTCTGGCTGGTGCCCAGCTCACCTCCTGCTCGCGCCTGTGCTGGGCGTCCCCCAGCCGTGAAGCAGACGAGGCGGCGTGCTTCTAGAAATGGGCGGAATTAGCACAAAGTCCCGCCAAGCCTGTCCCTCGCAGAGTGCTCAGATACTTGAGTGTGGGCCTGTGAAAATGGCCTGTTTGGGGAGTCCAGTGACCTGGGTTCAAATTCTAGCTGCGCCATTCACTTGCTGTGTGACCTTGAGCAGGCCAGCCCCTCTTGGGGTCTCAGTTTCCCCTTCTGTAAACTCAAGGAACTGGAGAGATGGTTTCTGAGAGGTCCCATCCAGAACTAATGTTTCCTGAACATGAACCAGAGGTCTCCCGCCATCACATTTTTATTTAGTCTGTAAAGTCTTTTGAAATTTATGGTGAGTTGCCAATATTTAGCATCTCAGATGATTTCACCTAAAAATTGGATTTCCGGTGTCTTCTGAGAATATTTGGTAGCTTGTGCAACCCAGAGGTTCCGTGCTCAGGCTACCGTCATCAGCTAGAGCAGAGCACGTCACTCCATTGGTGGGGCTTGCATTGTCCCAGCCTCCCTTGTAGTTGCTTCCTGCCTGGCCTGGTGGACATTTGAGTTCACCACCTGTGACCCAGATTCTCAGAAGTTTCCTTCTCCATGGCTCAGCCTTGCACCGATGGCCCCTTATGGTCAAGTCTACTAGGCCTGTGTCTCCCCTGAAGGTCCCCGACATACATCAGTCTATCAATCAGTGGCTCAGGAAAACCCCAGGGATCCAGAATCAGGGGCGGAAGCAACACATTATTATTTGCATAATGAAGGGGTTTATTCTTTACCTGCCCATAAGTCTTCTTCAGCCCATCTCTTCCTTTCCTGTGCTGTCTGGGGCACCCCCTCCCCACCCTGTCTAGTCCCTCAGTGCCTCCCATGGGGATTACTGGTAGCTGTGGCTGATTGTGATGGGGGAGTCACACCAGCAGATCTCACAGGAAACTGGAGGATTAGGTTTGGAGTCTCAGGACACGTGGTTCTTAAGGCTTCCCTCTTACGTGCCAGGGAGAAGAATACGTAGGAGTTTGCCAGGCTAGCCCAAGTTGCTGGGATCCTCAGGTCATTCATGAAAGCCAGGAAATTAGGGTCTGGAAATAGGAGGCTCAGGGTGACTGGGACAAACTTCTCCTCTGAAGACAGCCCACTTCCATAGAGTTCCTCAAACATCTGCACAGCTCAAATGGGGTAGAGACCCAGCCTAGACTGCAGAAACTGCACGTTCCGGTGAGGAAGGAGAGTCAAGTACACAAGCGGCATTGCTAAAATGCAAAAGGCAGTCTTCACTGGAGAGGTGGCTACAGGGTAGGGTCACGGAGACCTTGCAACCTGAAAGAGGCTGCCCCGGGTGACACCTTGAAGGGCAGAAGGTTTTTAAGGAAGGACTTCCATGTAGTGCTAACCATGGAGAATTCAGGTTACCTCTCCAGCCCCCACCCCACCCCAAAGTGTGGCCTGGGATGGACTACCTGTCTCACAAGACATTTTGCATAAAAGACCATTTTGTGATCAAATCCATTTGAGAAATGCCACTTCCTTTGTCTTCTGGAAGTTCCCTGCATGCATTATGAAAGACTCCAGAAAGTCCTGCAGGAAAGAAACCCCTTGGACTTGACATTTCCCAGTCTGGTGTGGCTTGGTACCCCTATTTGTGTGTGTCCCTTGTGAAATCCAATGGAGTTCAGGCCCCACGGGACATGCTTGGGAAATGCTGAGCCAGGGACAGCAGCGAGCTACAAGCAGGGGCCATGGGGGGAGTCCCACCTGGCACTGTAGTGAACTCTTTGCTGATCTCTTTTTCAGGAAATCAGAGAGATGGTGGCTCCTGTATTAAAAAGCTTCCAAGCCGAGGTAAGACCCAGGGCCCACAGCATGTCAGAAAAGTGCCCCCCATGGCTCCCCCTCCTGTCCCACCTAGAGTTGCTCAAGGGGGCCAGCAGCCTCCAGAAGCTTTGGAGAAGCTTCCCTGTCCCCATTGCAAATTCTGTGCCCTTCCCTCTGGTGTCCCATCCCAATGGTGTAGTGATAAGAATTGGTTCTCTGTTCAGTTTGACAGAATTCAAGTCTGATTCCAAGAAATCTCCCTCTCCCTAGACTTTACCCAACCTTACACTGGCTCTGCTACATGTAAGATCTGTGACCTTGGGGCATACACAGTGGCTCACACCTGTAATCCCAGTGCTTTGGGAGGCTGAAGTGGGAGGATCACTTGGCCAGAAGTTCAAGACCAGCCTAGGCAGCATAACAAGAACCCTATCTCTACAAAAAAATTAAAAATTAGCTAGTCATGGTGGCACGTGCCTGTAGTCCCAGCTACTCTGGAGGCTGAGGTGGGAGGACTGTTTAAACCCATCATGTTGAGGCTGCAGTGAGCCATGATCCTACCACTGCACACCAACCTGGGTGACAGAGTGAGACCCCGTCTCTAAAACAATAAAAAATAAAATTTAAGAAAGATCTATGACCTTGAACAAACCTACCTCACCTTCCAGGCTTGGTTTCCTATCTTTAAAATCAGAGATTGGTACGAGATGACCTTTGCCCTCTCTTGGCATTCTGCCCTCCTTTGATTCTCTGAGGCAGCCTTGCAGATAAGTCCACACAGTTACCAGCCCAACCAGAAATTCTTTGCACCGGCCCACTGTTTGAGTATAAAAGTGACATTGTCTGCATTCTTTCCTGCCAACCCACTGAGCCCTAGTTCCTTTGCTGTCCTCAGTAAATAAATTATCTTGCTTTTTGGAAGCCCTGTGATCAGGGTGAACCGCCCCCATTTCTCCTCTTTGCTTGCCTTCGTAACCAAGAGTCTGATAATGTCCATTTGGCTGGCTGGCACAGGAGGCAGGCCAAGAAAAGACTGGAATCATGCGGGTCCAGGGATTTCTAAAGCATTCCATCTTGAGGGGGATCTTCTCAGGCTTTCCGGGGCTCAGGCAGGACCCCAGAAGGATTGGCCACACTCGGAGATCACCAGAGGGGATGCATTTTAAGTCTGTCATCCACCAAGCGCCACATTACTTTAAATATGTCTCTTTGGAACCACATAAGCACATAAGGCAATATTAAAGTAAACAATAACTGGATTTACACAAATGTCGCTGATTTCCATATTTTTCATCCTTTCATTTTATTACCGAGTTGACTGATGTGCTTATTTATTTATAGGGCCATCCGGTATTGATTCATTTGGTTGCGAGGTGCCTGGGCTGGGAAGAAAAAAACCAGAAAGACCAATAATGTTAGGAATGGGGGTTTTCATGACTTTGTGTTACAAAAAAAAAAATAGAGGTTCCCATCTACCAACTCCTAGTCCCAGGAGAGCCGCTCAGCACACAAACTACCTATAGCAACTGATCCCTCTGCCCAATCTAAAGACAGGCATTGAGCTGTTTGTAGAGAGCATCACTTTCTCAACTGTTTCCTTGCTTAAGTTGGTGTGAACAGAGCTTCCGTTGGCCTCTTAGAACCTCAGTTTTCCCTATCTGTTAAATGGGAGTATAAAGACACTGGCAAGTCTTTTCATGTTGTTTTGAGGATTAACTGAGATCTAATGCAGGGAAAGGGTTTAATATAATGTCTGACACACGAAGAGCTGTTAGTGGGTGAAGAGCACAGATGCTGGAGTCAGCCTGGGTTGGCATCCCACCTCTCCCACTTACTAGCTGTGTGATTTGAGGTGAGCTACTTAACCTCTCTGTGCCTCCATTTCCTCATCTGTAAAATGAGATACTAATTATACATATTTCAGGCCAGGCAGTGGCTCACCCCTGTAATCCCAGCACTTTGGGAGGCCGAGGAGGGTAGATCACTTCAGATCAGGAGTTTGAGACCAGCCTGGCCAACATAGTGGAACCCCAACTCTACTAAAAATACAAAACTTAGCCAGGTGTGGTGGCAGGCACCTATAATTCCAATTACCCGGGAGTCTGAGACAGGAGAATCGCTGAACCCAGAAGGCGGAGGTTGCGGTGAGCCAAGATTGCACCACTGCATTCCAGCCTGGGCAACAGAGCAAGATTCTGTCTCAAAAGAAAAAATATATATATATATATACATATTTCACAGGGTGAGATTGAGGAAGAACAAAGTTAGCACGGATGAAGTGCTTAAAATACTGCCTTGCATATGAGAAGTCTTGGATATTTTATTATTCCTATAAACAGTGACCTCCAATACAGGTTTACTGGGTCTCTAGTGTGGCTGAGCAGCCATCTGCCACTTTCCTAACTAGGTGTTGAAGGCTTTTTATCTCAAAGAAGGGTTCAAGGGTTTGTTTTTTTTTTCCTATAGGAGGTGGGTATGACTTATGTTAACTTTTCAATAGGAGAAACGTTAGGTTTGGGTGATGTTTGGGAGAAGACCTGACTGCAGCATGGTAGAAAATACATGCAGATCTGACTCAAGCCTGGTCAAAACCTCAGCTCTGCTCCTAAACCAGCTGTGTGGCTTTGGGGAAGTTCCTTAACCTCTCTGGACTTCAGCTTTCCTCCTCAGCCAAATGAGGCTAACAGTAAGGATTTAGAAGCCAGGTGCGGTCACTCATGCCTGTAATCCCAGCACTTTGGGAGGCTAAGGTGGGAGGATCACCTGGGGCCAGGAGTTTGAGAGCAGCGTGGGCAACATAATGAGACCCCATCTCTACAAAAAAAATTTTAAATTAGCTGGGCATGGTGGCTTGTGCCTGTAGTCCCAGCTACTCAGGAGGCTGAGGTGGGAGGATCACTTGAGGCCAGGAGTTCAAGGCTGTAGTGAGCTATGATTATACCACTTCTTTCTAGTATGGGCAACAGAGCGAGACCTGGTCTCTTAAAAAAGGAAAAAGGATTCAAAAACTTTAGCAGCATGGAGGCAGTCCCAGGGTCTGGCACACAGTTGGTGCTCAATAAATACTGGGACAGAGAAAGTCTTAGGCCAAAAGGAAAGACAAAGCAGAATTCTCGTTTTCAAGACCCATGTGGCACATTGAATAGATGCTGCTTTAATAGCTGCAGACCTTAAAGAACTTTGTTAATTTTCTTAAGAGGGCTTTCCATCGTCCCTTTAATGTACCAAGAAGACTACATTTGTCTGGAATTTTATTCCTGAAACCGCTGCTTTTCTCATGATCTATTGACTAAGCCATTGTGGCCTCTGTGTCCTCCTTGCGCCTCAGGGGAGAGATGCCGCCAAAGGAAGGTGTTAATAAAAAGCATCTTCTTCGTCCAGAAAAAGCTGCACATGCACAGGCCGTTTATAATCCAAATTTGATTTTCATTTTAATTTTTTTAATGAGGCCTCATCCTTTATGCCACTCTCCTCTCGCAATCCACTGGGCTCTGGGCTGGCGCTGCGATTCCCAAGTGGGTATTAATCACCTCCTGGAAATATTCTCTGGGGCAAACACCGTCCCAAGTCACATAAACTAGCCCATAAAATGCCAGGACTGAATATCACACCCGTCATTCCTTCTTCCCAGTGCAGGCCTTTCCTTGAACTATACCATGTTCAGTTTCATGGTATATACCATGAAATAGACCATGTTCAAAAAAGATACTATGTTATTCCTGAATTTTGCTTCACCAGCCCTGGTGTGTTCAGAATCTGGGCATACTTCTTATCTTTTTATGTTATATATGTGTGGATCTATCTTTTCTTTCTTTCTGTGTGTGTATGTATGTGTGTGTTTGTGTGCGCGCGTGCACCCGCTTGTGCCGGTGGGAGGGGGCGGAGAGGAAGTGAATTTGCCCTGCTGTGAATCAAGGAAGCTTCTCTGTCTGCCTTGATTGCTTAAAGGACAGTTTTGATTTCTCCTGTTCAGGGAAACAAAGACAGCCGGAGAAGGTGGCTTAATGGAGACAGCTTGAAATGGCCAAAGTTTGAATATCCTTGCGTACAGAGAAAAGAGCAAGACGAAAGCCTCGCTAATTATAAAAGTTGCTTTATGAAAGATAATTCAAAGCAATAATTTAGCAAACATAATCAAGTCGCACAGATGGGGTTGTTGATGGATGGATTGCAACATGCAATTAGCAGTTCTCGCAGTTACATATCATTAACCCTCCGAGCACAAAAATTATTTTCTCATTATTAGTTGAAAAGGTAAAATTAAGCTGACTAGACAGTAAAGGAACAAACTACAATTAATTACCTTCATTTATTACAGTCATTATTTTAAACTTATTTTTACTTGGAGGGAGACATGAAAACATCTAAATTAAAAGTTTTGTTATGCTAACTCAGAGGTGAAACTTTTCTGAAGCGCGTGTGCACCGGCCCAGCTTGAGATTTTCTTTTTCTCTGCCACCTTTTTCTTCCACCATAAAGGGAATGTGGCCTGTATGGTGGAAAACCTTTTAGGTTGGATTGGAACAGAGACATTCACTTGGGCCTGATTGAAACATAGTAGTTGGGGCCGGGCGCAGTGGCTCACGCCTGTAATCCCAGCACTTTGGGAGGCCGAGGCGGGCGGATCACGAGGTCAGGAGATCGAGACCATCCTGGCTAACACAGTGAAACCCCATCTCTACTAAAAAATACAAGAAACTAGCCGGGCGAGGTGGCAGGCGCCTGTAGTCCCAGCTACTCAGGAGGCTGAGGCAGGAGAATGGCGTAAACCCGGGAGGCGGAGCTTGCAGTGAGCCGAGATCCGGCCACTGCACTCCAGCCTGGGCCACAGAGCGAGACTCCTCTCAAAAAAAAAAAAAAAAAAAAGCCCTGGCCTCTGACGCCCAAGGGAGGTTAGACACCCATGGTCTGAGCCCCGCCCTAACACTGACAAGCTTATGTGACCTTGGCGAGTGACTTTATGTCTCTGAGCCACTGTTTCCTCATCTATAAATAGGGTCAGCTTATACGATTGCATGAGATTCAGT